ATAAATATATATATATTTCAGTACAAGAGATTGAACTCAGAATCTTGTGCTTGCCAGGCAGACAAGTGCTTATTCTACTAAGCTATCTCCCTGGCCCCTTCTTCTAAAGATATTGACCTTTGATATTTTCATAAGGAGTAGTTGTGGGGATGTTCCCCATGTCTGTTGCCCAGAAATAGCATGTTCAATTGCACTGGGCTTGGGGAAGAAAACCAAAAGCTCATCCTTATGTATTAGTTGATCTGGGCCTCTGGCCTCTGAAAGAAGTAGTAGTAGTCATCTTTCTCATTGCAAAACAAAATATTTGACACCCTCAATTTAAAGGAGAGGTTTAATTTTGCTCATGGGTTCCAAGGATTTGGCCTGTGGCTGGATGGCTCCAAGGCAGAAGGGTCTGGAAGAACAAAGCTGCTCACTTCTTGGTGGTTGGGAAGCAGAGCACAGGAACAATGTCAGGGGAGGTGGCCAAAGACCTTGCTAGAATACTCAAGGTCATGCCTCCATGACCCATCCAGACACAACTGAGACATGCTTTACTCAACTGCTAAGCGGCTCCCAATCAAGTTGACAATAAAGTTTAACCATCAGAGAGGCATAGGGGCTTCCTTTCTAAAACTCACCCATGGTTCACTCAGAGTATCAATGGCCTAGAAGACAATATATGATCTAGCTCTCACTACCTCTCTGACTTCATGCTCTACCTCTCCCTTGATGTGTTAGTCACACTGGTTTTCCTGTTCCTCAGATATGCTAAGTAGAGTTCCACCCTACTACTTTTGAATTGGCTGGAATCAGTATCTCCCAAATACTGATTTCTTATAGGTTTCTGCTGAAATGTGACATTCTCAGAACATCCTTGGCCACTCTTTCTAGAAATGCTCCTCTGATCTCTATTTCATTACTCTGATTTATTTTCATTGCAGCAATTACCACTATCTGACAAATTACATGCTCATATTTTTGTTTTGAGTGATTTCAATAGAATGTAAGTTCTATGAAGGCAGGGATTTTTGTCTCCCTCCATACAGCTATACCCATGCACCCAATACGCATAATGGTTCATGATACATAATTTGGACAGAACACATGAATGAGTGAATGAATAAACAAGTGCAAAATTATAGTAAGAGACACACCTAGAGAAGTCGAGAGTTCTGCTAGGGAACCTAACCAGGTATGACAGGATTTATTTGGGTTACTTAGTATCCTTTTTGCCCCTAGGAGATGGTCCTTATCCTGAGAGAACTTGCAGGTTGTGCTGTTCCTCACCATTCCTGACAGTAAAGGATAAATATCTAGGCCGCACCAGGCCAGCTGTCAAACACTTCATCTTATCTGCCCCTTTGGGGTCGTTTGCTGAGTTCTTAGGCAGGTGGCCTTCACCAGATCTATTCCACATTACCTAGGGAGACACAAGTGAGCACAGTGCACAGCACACAGAAAACATTTGACAACGCTTCCTATTATCACGGCGGGCACGACAAGTAGATAAATTTCAGCTCAGGAAGATTTTTCCTCAAGTTCAAGACAGCAGCGAAAGTGGATGGAATTAGAGTTTTTGTCCTGACTTTGCCTTTCCATTCTTTGGCGGCTACCCTGAAGGGGTCCGCAGGAATCTACACCGACTAGTTATTCTGGGTTTGTACCTCCAAGGGGCACGTGAAACGGAACAGTTTTGTCCTGGGAGCTACCACTGACTGGAACAGAGGTAGGAGAGTCGGCTTTGAGAGAAACTACTTGGAGGGGCATCCATTTGGGATTAATCTTGTGTGACTGCGCTGAAGTCTCCTTAAAGCCACATAGGGTATTAACCATGGTTTCTAACAGAGGCACTAATAGCCCTCGCTGCACTGCTCCTGTTCCCACCACTCCGTTTATCCGGCTCACTTGGGGCTGTTAGCAGTCATCCATTTTCACTTCTCCAACTCCACTTCTGTTTTTCTATCCTGTCAGATTCAGCTGGGTACCTCAAAGGAGCAAGCGATTGGTTCTCGGACGTGAGGGGCCAGGTCCTGGGTGGTGATTGGTCACCGAGAGCTATAAGGAAGCATTTCCGGGGTAAAGAATGGCCTCGACCAATCCCGTAGGCCCTACCTCCTTTTCAAGTACTGGGATGTGAGGGGCCAGGTCCTGGATGGTGATTGGTCACCGAGAGAGCTCCGGGATAAACAATGGCCTCGACTGATCTCCTAGTCCCTACCTCCCTTTTCAAGTACCTGGTTCCGATTGGTAGTTGGAGTTCAGGTAGAGGGTGAAGGGTGTGTAGGTGTGTGTCTGTGTGTTCTTTGGACTCCCCCAAAGGGACTGAAGATGGTATTTTCGCCCTGATTACATTTTTTTTTTTTTTTTTG